ACGCCTTTGGAGATTAGATGTTCTTTTTGGAATCTGTCATCCCAAGAGTGGATTTCTGTGCTAAAGCGGAGAGCTAGGGCAGAAGCAGGAGGGAAGGGCCGCACTAACTGCTACTATGAGCTCTCAATTCATCCTTTTCCCAAAAATACTGTCAGTGGGTTGTCATTTAACAGTCCAAGAACCGGAGGTTTGTAGAAATTAAGTATCCCCCAGAAGGTTACAAAATTAGTAACAAAGCCAGGATGGGACCTCGGTTTTCTACCCCAAGCTTATTTCTCTACCCTCCGTCAGTATTTCTCAACTTGGCTGGGTGCTGGGATCCTCCGCAAAGCTCCCAGCCGCTGGGCTCCGGCCCCGCCCACAGAGGCCGGGATTCGCAGCTGCTGGGGTGGAGCCCAGGCGTTCGCATTTCCAACCGCCTCCACTGCGGCTGGTCTGACGCTGCACTCTCATGGGGAGACTGCGAGCGTCCCAGGATGTGGCTGCGCGGAGAGCGTCAGGATTGCGGGGACAGGTTCGCTGAGCAGCACGCACCACCTGTCGGAGCAACTGCTGATGGCTCTGAGGCAGAAGGTAGTTGGAAAGGCAGTGCAGAGAGCAAGGGCATCAGACAGAAGCCGAAGCTGAGAGCAGCTGTCCTGGTTTGGGGTGAGATGAGGAGCAGAGACCTGAGCAAGGCATACGGAGCTGGAATATCTCAGTTGGCTGCGAAGTGTTCTGCTCCTTGCCTAGTTTGGAAGTAGGGCTCCTCAAAGGGAGAATGAAGGCAGACAAAGGACTGTCCACGGCAGTGTCTCTCATTGTTTCCTGGCTCCAGCTGCAACTGCGCACTCATTCTGACTTCATCCCAAATGTGAACCAAGCCCCGACTTCATTACACCCAAAGCTGTTTAAGGGAAAACAAACTATCACACATGCTAAGCCAACGTCATTTCCTTGAATCTGTTGCCATGCTGGGTTCTATTAAAAATATTTGCATCTTCTTTTCTCTCAGCGCGAGGGGGAGGAGGACAGCCCGAGATCACTTAATTCAGAATCTCCAGTGTAAATTGCTATAGTAGGCTCAACGGTGATTTGATCATCTTCAGCTGAGGGATTTGGCGACCTGGCTCCCCAGAGAGGATGACACAGCACAGAGGCCAGCACAGGCAGCTCGCCTCGCCTGGCCCTGTAGACAGCAGAGGTTGAAAGTCCTTGCTGAGGTCACTAGTGCTGAGTGCTCTTAATAATTCAAACAAGCCTGAGTACCTCTTCTGTGTGGAAGCCAGGCAGCCCTGGGGACAGGGAAGAGACCGGCGGGGCACTGGCTGTCCTCTGCTAAAGAGAGCTTATCTTCCTTAAGGAAGCTTTGATCCTTTTTGGAGCACTTTGGTGGAATGTTATTCATATGGAATGAGGTGCAAAGAGTTAGCTCAATTAATGAGACAACTCGCCAGGAACAGACTACCACAGTAGGACTGCCGTGGCCCATTTCTGCGCAGTGCCACGGACAGCACGAGGGAGTGGGCTAAAGCAAGGGTGAGTGAGGTGCACATACACGTGGAAGACACAAATACACAGGAAAGTAGGCAGGAAGCAAGCAGGCGGGCAGGGAAAGCCGATTTGCCCTCTACCCATCTAACTCCAGAACCCAACCCAGGCTTGTGGAAACTACATCATGCTCCGTGCAAGGGTGGAGCCCCTGTGACCAAATCATTCCTCTCTTCAAGGTCCCAAGACTTTTCTCAGTGCTGTTACATTGGCAAATAAACTTCAGTGAGTTTCAGGGCAGGGGAGAGCAACAGCTACACCATAGCAGGCAGGGAAACACAACATTCAGATGTAACTATAACCAAAGAAGCACCACCTTCCCTTTCAAAATGATGAAGATGATGTTTGTTTCTTTATATACATTTGTCCATTCATTCATTCATTCATTGAATAATCATTGAAGCCTTCCTGATTGCTACGCAGTTCAGTTTGGCCTTGAACTATGTAGCCCAGGCTGGCCTGGAATTCACAGCAATCCTCCTGCCTCAGCTTTTCAAGTGCTGGGATATAGGCGTGCACCATCACAACAGGCCATAGCAATTCATTTAAACCTCACCAAAAATCTCTGTTGAAAATGGCCATTATAGCGAAGCATGGGGGCGCATGCTGAGTAGGCCTTGGGCACTGAAGTGAGATACCGAGTCTCTTCATTCATACAACCAATACTTACCGAAGCCCTACTACTGAATATATGAGAAACTGTTCCAGGTGGTTAGATACATAGTCATTTCCTTTAAAGAGCAAGAAATGTTCAGAGTAAATAAATTGAAACAGTGGTGGGTGTGGTTTGGGGGCCATGCCTATAATCCCAGCATTTTGGGTGGTTGGGGTTGGATGGTTCCAAATTAGTGCTTTAGGTCACTGAGTGAGACACTATCTCAAAAACTTAGGCAACTTAGTGAGACACTGTCTTTAAAAAGGGGGGGGGTCTGGATATGTAACATAGGTGTTTACTACATGATTTTTCAACTCTGAAATTTTGTATTGTAAAATATTAAAAGGAAAAAGCAATAGGAGTAAGGAAGGTAGGATTGGGAAAACTTCCCGGGGGATCCAGGGCAGTGTTGTCTTCTCTTCTCAGCTACCTGATATCCCTGTGCCATTCTTGAGCTATGGGCTCATCAAATTCCAAATTCTAAAAGGCCTTATTTTGGGCTGTAAACATTTCTGCGAAAATCTTTGCGGTTCGTTAGGTTTCCTTTCTGGAGAAAAGACATGGGCGAAGAGGCCAACTGGAAGGCCTCCTGAAACCCACCCACTCCATCATGCTTGTTTTATTTTTATTTTTTTATTTTAGAGACAGGGTGTTCAGGGTGTCACTACTAGATCAGACTCATAGCGATCCACCTGTTTACAGCCTCCCAAGGGCTGGGATTGCAGGCGCGTGACGCCACGCCCAGTCTCAGTTGCCTTCTCAGTCCCTCATGCTTGTTGAGCTGACCTCCAGTAGAGCTCCCCATGAGTGGCTTCCCTTAATTTTCTTTTTTTAAATTTATTTATTTTTTACATTTATTTATTGTGTGTGTGTGTGTGTGTGGCCAGCTCAGCCCACCAGGGGGCGGGACTGACTGGCATGTGGTGCTGGGGGATCGAACCCCGGTCCCTGTGCTTTGCTAAGCTTGTTCCAAGTAGGTGCTTTAGACCACTGAGCCATCTCTCCAGCCCTCCCTTAATTTTCCATAGTGGTTTTTTTTTTTTTTTTTTTTCAGATATTTCTCTTGGGCCGTCCAAATAGCTCAGCAGATTAATGCACCTGCAAGCAGGCTCAGGGGCCAGGGTTTGATCCCCGGGCCTGCAGTGCCGGCCCCACCCTTGGGGCGTGCTGAGATGGCAATTGCCACTGGGTGTGGTGACCCTTTCCTGTAATCCCAGCCCTTGGGAGGCTGTAAACAGGAGGATCACTACAAGTCTGATCTAGTAGTGAGTGAGACCCTAAACACCCTGTAGACCCTTCCCTAAAATACAAAAACAAAACCCCCCAAAACAAAGTAATTCTCCACTTAGGGCAACAATATAATTGAAAGAAAAGGCTGACAACTTCAGGTCTATCTTAGACTGCAGAGTTCCAGCAAGTCAGACACCAACCCCATGTTCAGAGGAGCAGAGGCTGGGACCTTTATTTTTTGTTTTCTTTTTATTTTGAGAGAGTGAAGCTAAATCCTTAAATTGTCCAGGTTGTTTGCAGTCCTCCTGCCTCAACGTCCTAGAATGCTGGGATTACAGGAATGAGCCACCAAACCCAGCTCAGGGGCCTTTTCTCTTAAACACTAATGGGGCCTAGACTGTATCAAGTACTACTCTTAAGAATTTTACACATAATTTTTCTTTTTTTTTTTTCTTTTTTGGTACCGGGGATTGAAATCAGGACCTGCGCTTGCCAGGCATACACATAATTCTTGAACTCATTATGTAGCTCAGGCTGGCCAGGAATTCACGGTGATCCTCCTGCATCAGCCTCCCAAGTGCTGGAATTATAGGCCTGCACCATCAGGACCGGACATAATGATCATTTAAACGTCACCAAAAATCTCTGTTGAAAATGGCCATTACTAACCTGGGCATGTTGGCACACGCCTGTAATCCCAGCATTAGGAAGGCTGAGGCAGGGGGATCATAGTGAGTAAGGAGACCCTGCCTGAAAACAAACAAGGGCCGTTTATCATGCCCATTCAACAGAATGGCACATAAAGGCACAGGAGATTAAGTAACTGGTTTATGGACATGAATGAGAACACAAATGTGGCTCAAGTCACCAGCTGGTACTATCCTCCTAGACAAGTGACAGATTGCCAATCTCTGAACAACTAGGTCAATTAAAGGTATCAATGGATCAAAGTGGCATTCATTATTCTAACGTTCCCACTAAACCTAACTCCTTAAGAACCTCCGTATTTCGGACGTGAGATCCCATAGCTAGGAAGAGCATTCATTTCCCAGGGAGACAGGCTTCCAATAAAGCCCTGAAGTCATCTTTCACTAGGGAGTCACAGGAGGACAGGCCTGCTAAGCAGAATGGCGCTTGGGGGTTTCCAACACAGGAAATATCTAAAGCCAGCGGCTGGCACACTATTTTGGGCAAATGAGGAGGAGGAAAAAAAAAAGTCATTTTTCTTAAAACAGAAGTTTTTAGCCTGAATAAATGGTAAATGATATTAATTCATGAAGTCCCTTTCATCTTAATTCCCAGCTTGTTCTCATTTTGTTCCTCAAACGTGGGGCATCCACTCCATTATCTGATCTATTAGCCCCCCTCCCCAGCCCTTTCATAACTTCTCTTTGAAATAAGGTGGCAGCACCCTACACCCAAACACTCAGCCCCCGGCCCGGGTCCTGCCGGGCCTCCGGTGGGCGTCGGGAAAGCGCGGATCCGGCGTGGGTGGGGGTGGCAGCCTGCGGCTCACACCTCTCTCGGAGACCTCGGGCGGGGCGGAGGCCGCGGCCTCGGCGAATAGCAGCGCGCTCCCCGCGCGGATTGGAGCAGCGGCATCACGCTGACCTCGGCCTGGGATGTAAACCCGCCGGCCGCTGCGGGCAGAGGAAGGCTCGCGGCAGCTCCGGGAAAGCCAGCCCATCCCCGGCTCCCCGCGGTGGCCTAGATCTCTGTGGCGCCCAGCGGCAGGAGGAGCCCGGCGAGGGCGAGAGCGAGGGCGCGGGCGCGGGCGGGGAGCGCGCGTCGGAGCCTTCGGCGGCGAGAAGGGGCGGCGCGAGCCATGGCCGGGGACAGCGAGCAGACCCTGCAGAACCACCAGCAGCCCAACGGCGGCGAGCCCTTCCTCATCGGCGTCAGCGGGGGCACAGCCAGCGGCAAGGTACGGCGGCGCCGCGCTTCCGCCGGCCCGGGGCGGCGCATGTGGCCCGGGCGCGGGCCAGGTCCCTGGCGGCAGC